TTTGTTTGTTTTTTTTACTATAAACAGAAGGATACCTGTGTAAATTTTGAGTGCCCTTACCAAAATTTAAGATTAGTTACACTAAAGCTACCATGCAAATAAGCTAACCTCTGCTGCACAGCATCTTTAAATAACTAAATTCAGGTAGCAACTAACCTCAGCATCTTTAAGAAAAAAAAAAACCGAACCCCCTGGACTCACGAGTTCCTGCCCAGTGGGGGGTGATTCCCACTTCCCTGCACTACATAGGGGGCTCTTCACAAGCTCCCGAAAGCCCTGAAGCTGCTGCAGGAGCTGGTGAGTCCTGGGGGTTTTCTCAGTTTTTGTTTTCTTAAAGGGCCAGATCTGGGGTGGGCAGGGCAGGCGTGGGGGGGCTGGAGGAGCAATGGGGGGTTAGGGGCTTGTGCAGAGACCCCCACACAGTATGGGGCATCAAGGATCGCCCCCCCTGCCCAGTAGCACCCAGTGAGTGGGGACTTTTTTTAAAGCACCAGGAGCTGGGGTGGGTGGGGCAGCCATGGAATGGAGCCTGGCAGGGGTCCCCCCATGGTCCCTTCCCCCCTCCACCAGCCGCCCCCCTCCTTGACCCCTACTTACCAGCTCTGAGTCTGGCTCCAGCCCCCTGATGCAGCGGGCAGGGACTGCCCGAATCAAAGCTCTTTGAATCTTTTCTGAAGATTCGGAGAGCTTTGAATCAATTTGGACCTTTTTATTGGTCCCTTGATTTGATTCAGATTTGGAGATTTGGCCACTGAATCAGGCCAAATCTCCTCCAAATCAAATCAGCATCCAAAGCTTCGCACAGCTTCATGATTGCCCATGGGTCACTCCAGTCCACTGGTCATATGTTTGACACCCCTTAAATAAAGCTTTTTCATTTGGGTCCAATTTCCCTAAGTGGAGATACAACAGAATTTATTTCTGTGTTCTGAATCATCATCTCACAGAATGATCCACAGCTCTTGTTACATTTCCCTGTGAAGTTCAGGAATATTCAGATCTGGAGTTCTAATAAAGGCCCATCGCACAGTGTTACCACAAGAGGTTTTACAAAAAAGTAGTCCACCTTGATGACTAAGTTATAAAAAAGTTTCCCTTTGTAAGAGATAAGAACTATTATAGTTTGATATTCCATTTTGACCCACTATGCTACACCTTGCTGTTATATTAAAGACTAAAACAAAAAATACTTTTTGTGCCATTACCTGTATGAATCCCTATTGCTGATGGTGTCATGGCCAGAATCTTCCTGCTCATCACCAGCTACATTAAAACAGACCTTTTTCCCATTCTTTTCTCCCTTGTCATTGTCACTGTCTGCTTGTATTAAAGCCTCGGGTGTTTTACGTTCTGATTTGGGAGAATAGGTTATCGAAGAGAGGAGACTGCAATGTAAAAAACAACATTAAAGAATTAGCTGTGTACCAAATAACTATTAGCATCAAACTTCCTCCAGCAATATTATGCTAAATTTCTTTGTTCGTCCTTTCCATTATTTTGTGACAAATAAAAAGAAGGCTCAACATGTTAAACTTATTTTCATATCCACTTGAAAAGAATGGCAAATTAAAGCGAAAAAATAACATACTTCATAATAAAAAAAAATTAATGAGCTGAATTCATGCTTCAAATCAATGTAACACATTAGCATTTCAAAACAGTAAATACAGTGATAAAGCAGTGATTCTCTCAAAAGTAAAAGGTTGCTATAGTATATTCTTGAACTTTTGGGCCCAAATTCTTAATTAGGATGACTTGTTTTTAAAATGATTTTTATATTTTCTGCAAACACCTACAAAATAATTTTAAACAATACTCCTCTGTATTATCATAGAATCATAGAATCAATGAGTCGGAAGGAACCT